CCTCCAAAAGATAACTAGTTTTTCATGCATCGACGTTTGTTTAAGAGACTTTCTTTAATAAAATAAATGGTTTGAGTGACGGTTAAAAATCCTTTGTGTCTTCCTGCAGAGGCCCAGCAGTCCGATCCAAATGGCTGACAGGATCAAACCAAACGCCGCCTGTAAGTTTAATCCCAAACATTAATCAGGCTACTTTATTTACTCAGGATGATGAACGGGCTCAGACAGCACACTGATCTTCAGCTTTAATGGTGCGACTCTACTCCTGCAGTCTAAAACCTAAGCCATACCGCGTAAAGAAGAATGCGTCCTGTGTTCTGGTGAAACCCGTCCAGGTTCTGCTGACTGTCAGCCGGTTCCCACTGGGCTACAGAGCTGTCATAGTCCAGGTGCATGACTCCTTCAGGTAAAACCCGGATCCCCCAATAAATCCTCTTCACTCTGCGGAAGGTGGTGTCCTGCACATCGCAGCGATATGTCCCTGGAGGCAGATGGATCACGTTAATATTGTAGACTGTTGCAGCAGCAGCATTAAAGTTGTCTTTATTTGGAAAACGACTCCAACTTCATCGCTTTCATTGGTTCCTCAGTTATTTCACGCAACAACAATAATGATAATAGTATTAAAATTAATAGTGATAATAACAATAATGATAGGGGTAGCCATGTTGATGATGGTAATTTATGTCCTCTGAGGTATAAACATCATTCTTAAAATTCAACATGGCTGCCCCATGCTTTAAAGCTGTGTTAGCTGCACTAACAAATGTTTACTATCACAACAACTGATGGGAGGCAGCCTCATCCAAAATGGCCATGAAGTGACCTTTGAACCCTGAGGGGTTTTTCTCAGTGTCAAGGAACCTCGCCTTGATGTCTTGGCCCCGCCCCGGTTGCCTAGGAGATACAACATCAGTCGCCGCCAAGGCGTGTTCCAATGTTCATGTTCTACTGAGGCATCTGTTCTCTGTTTGTTAGCCGTTTAGCTAGCTGAGCATGGAAACGCGGGAGGTGCCTTGTAGCCTAGCCTTGGTGAAAAATTCCCAGATACTTTTTCTAGAGGATGGCGGATCAGAATTCAGCAAATGTCTTGTTTAAATGTAAGTCAACTAATTGTAGCTATCAGGTTGGTATCTGAAATGTGTTTAGATCCAAAGCAGTTAGCTGTGGTTGGTTAGTTGCTTAGTAGTTGCAGCTTCGGTGGCTAGCAGGTAGTAACTCGCTTATATATTTCATTCAGCCAGTACATACGCAATAAAAAAGTAAAAGGCTCATTATTAATTCAGTTTGAAACTTATATGTATGAAATATCACGTTATCCCACAGGAGCCGCGGTCACGTGAGGTAAAGCCTGATTTATACTTCTGCGTCTGCGTCGGTGCGGAGACACGCAACGCCATTATGCGTTGGTGCAGGGGCTCTCCGACGGGCTCACAGAGGGTGTCAGAGACGTGCCCAAAATTTTAAACATCCGTCAAAAGTGACGGAGAACTTATTGGTCAGGACGCCGCTTCCTGTATATTCGACACCAGCACTGCTGTAGCTCCATTTAAAAAATGGAAACGATGAGAAATGTGGGTTTAGAGTTGGCGACCGCATGAAGGCGGATGAAAATGAAGGACTAATTTGTCTGTGTTAAAGTCTCTGAAACACACAATCACATTAGTAAATGCCCTATCGTGGACCGGACACACGAGTACTATTGTGGCAGGATGCCACAGAGCAGCACTACGCCCTCTGCTGTCCTGGAGGGGAATTGTTTTGCAACTCTGCCTGAACAGAAGTTCAAATGTGAAAACCTTCCCGACACTCCGTGTGCGTCTCTCCGCTGTGGAGCTCATGGAGAAGTATGAATCAGGCTCAAGTCTGTTCCATTTAACCGTGTTCTATGACCAAGGCAGGACAGAGCCCTCGTACGCACCCTGAGTGTTACTGATCATGAGCTAAGATCTGGTGTCATCGCCAACACACTCAGACATGACTTGGATCGAAGGAACCACATAAAACTAAATGATTTGACCAAATTGATTAAAACGTGATCGTTTCTCTACAGAAGATGATCTTAGTTTGAATTCTGGTAAGAAAGGTCAACTTTGGAATGAAGATTTAGTTGCGTTTTACTAAACATCCAAACTTTTCTCAAAAGTATGTTTTTTTAACAAAAGCAAGGGACTGTCTCGCCTGCCCGACATAAACGACACACTTACTTTTATATTTAAGGCCGCGCGATCACACCAACCAGAGAGAATCCATGCACTTTTGTGTTTACCTGCATCGCTCTCTTGGACGGGCTCCAGGACCACTCGATCCAGGTGAGGGGCGTTCCAGCGGTCAAACAGAGAGTCGTCAGAGCTGATGATTCCTCGAGCATAGCGCCATGACACTCTGAGCGGTAAAACACGTGTATCATGCTGAGCCCTAGCTCCACAGCTAAGATTTACAACAACTCTAATAAAAGAAGTGTTTATAAATAATTAGGCAGATCGTCTTTAACCTTCACATTCAATTCCAACAGAAAGGAAGACTGAACGACCTTTAAACACACACGAACAGTTCTGATGCACTTATTCTGAAGACGTATTTTATTATTGCAAAATACGTCTTCAGTCCAGCATCTCAGACTGGTCCCAGCATGGAGTCGTGGTTTAGTGGGAAGTCTGGGATCTTTGAGAAAATTGTAAAATGTTAGAAAATTACGAATAAGTCCAACACCCATTACCTCCAGGAGAACTTCCCCATTGCCTCCATGACTTCTTCCAAACAGTCAATCTCCACTTTCTGTCCTGAGGTGACGGTCATGGTCCTGAGTCCACACTGCCACGAGTCCAGACACGCCGCCTTACGGACACGACACTCACCTGATACTTTAGGTTCAGTCGATCTCTAGGAAATTGAGAATGTTGATCATGAATACAAGGGTTTGGATTGGGGCTGGGCAATAAATCAACAATTTATCGCTATCAAAGTTTCTGACTCTTATCGTGGTAATTGTTCCCATGTCAATAAATCTGATGATACAAAAATGAAAGATGTGTGTAGGTTGGCAACGTTCCTGCTCCTGTAAGAGGCTGTACCAGCTTGAGTCATGGAAAATGTAACTCAACTTAACACATGTGACATTGTTTGTTTCTGCGCACACCTGTAGCTGTCGCCCATTTATCGTTATCAAGGTTAAATCCTCGATATATGGTGATTTTAACTTAAGGCCACATCGCCCAGCCCTAGTTTGGACTGTATTCACATCACAAAGGCTTTCATCACTAATCTATGCTTTCTTTTTTAGCTTTTTCTATCATTGAGGTGAGATTAATTTTAAACAACAACAGACAACAGTTAATGATGGCATTTACATGTGTGAGTATCCGTGTTGGGCATCTTATGAAAAAGACGTAATTAGTTATAGTTACTATTGACTTTTTCCAAACAGTAACTGAGTTAGTAACTTAGTTAGTAACTGAGTAACCTGATCACATAGAAAAGTAACTGACATTATGTTTATTTAATTATGTTCTATAGTTTATAACATCAAAGGTTTTTAACTGACTGATTCTCTATCTAGAAAGAACACGTCAGATATCTAGATAGTAGAAATGAACATTCCAGATATCCATGAGAAACAACCAAGAACAACAGAAGTATAGATCTCTGGAACACAAATCCATTTGGCCTAAAACATGTTATAAAGACCGGCGTCGGTTTTTAGGGACTGTGAGAAACTTCATTCCTACAAGTGCAGCTGTTATCATTTATAAAGTAGCAACACGACTGCACTTCTGACTTTAATAAGAATACAGTTAGTACTAGGATAAGTTACATAACTGTTATATAAAGTAGGAGTTACAGAGAGGTCCAATCGTGGATTAAATGTTAAAACAGCTTAAAGTCTGCTTTTCCTCACCTTTCTGACAAGCTGTTCACTTTTCTGTCCTCGTCTTTTACCAATTTTCTCCTCGCCAACATTACAGATCCCATCATGTTCATGCACTACTTGTCCCAGCTCGCTCCCTGCTTTCAAGGTGATCACACACACACACACACACACACACAAACACACACACACACACACACACACACACACACACATGCACACACGTACACACACACACACACACACACACACACACACACACACACACACACACGCACACACGCACGCACACACACACACACACACACACGCACACACACACACACACACACACACACGCACGTACACACACACACACACACACACACACACATGCACACACGTACACACACACACACACACACACACACACACACACGCACACACACGCGCACGCACACACACACACTCTCTCTCTTTCTCACAGCTGAAGCATGCTGTGTGTTTGCGTGTGCACACCACGCACGAGTGTGTGTACACGGTTACTGTTCGTTAGTGGCTCGGGGTGATACGGGGTGTGCGGGCGCCGTCTGGGTCTCTCTCTTCTGATCAGCTCTAAGAGCCATCTTGTTTAAGATCACTAGTGTGGCTGCCAGAAAGGCACTGCTGCTCTTCGTTCACTTACTTCATACTAACGCGTCCCGTTACGTGTCCGGTGACGGTAGCGGCGTTGTAACGACGGGTAAAGAGATGAATTAGATGACTCCATTCTCTTAAAATAATCCTACATAGTTTTCCTGACGTCTCCTTGTTTTAGTCACACATCCAACAGCCGGCTCTCTGGAACGCCTTCACCACTTGTAGGTGGACCTCTAAGAAACTGAACTTTGGGCATTTACTGGTTTGTTGACCAAATTCTAGAACATCTAAAGTTTATGTCACAGTTTTGACAGATAGCAGGTCTGAGAACGACGATACTTATAACGATCTGTTTCATGAGCTCCAAACATTCAGGAGGATTCATCAGAGAGGATTGCCGTTCCTCCTCTTCCTCCTCAGCATGCCTATTCCACTTGATGGGAACTTGGTGTAGTCAAAGCTGTAATATGGCTCCACTTACTGTGTTCTCTCTCTCGAGTCCACAGGCTTTGTCCCCAAACACAAATACTTGTATGCTGGGGTTTGTGGTTTCAGGTTGTCTTTTCAGTTTTTACTCACATTTTCTTCCACGGCTGTTGCACCGTCTGTCAACAAACACAGCGTTTGTGTCTTCACACCAATTCCACAAGTGGTGCTGCAGGCGGAGCTCTCTGTGATGACCTCCACTGGCCCTTCACCCACGTCCTTCAGGTCCGCAGATATCAAACAGAGGAGTAGGAGGGGGGCGTAGATCCTCACAGAACAAATGTGCATTTTAATGTTTGATGGAGAACCTGCAGGATAAAAGAGAACTATGCGAGGCTTTGTTTCTTTTTTTGTTTGTTTAGTCGAACGGCTTATTTGATTGCAAATGTGCATTTAATCAAGCTTGGGTCTTTAACCCAGTTACACATCCATCTGTATCCACGTTTAGAACAAAACCTGCTAGAAGAGATGGTCATAAACCAACTGTTTGATTTTAATCTCCATTACGTTTCAACCATTAACAAACAAAACTTAGAAAGAGGAAGAAAAATGAGGCTGAACAAAACCACAACTCCCTCTAGTGGTTGGCTGCAACACTAGTTTTAAACCCTACCCCTCCTAGTGAGCACAAACACTCCATGACACCTCAGGTGCTGTTTAACACCATCAGCAGCATCGTGTCTCCTGCCTCTCCTACAGCCTCCATCCACTCTGTTGCAGACTGTGAGAACTTTCTGTCTTTCTTTGTGGACAAAGTCAATAAGGTTAGATCTAGCATCTCTCCTTCAGCCTTATCGCCGCCTCTCCCGACTCCAACCAGGCCCATCATCCTAGATAGCTTTGCTCCTGTTTCTTTGCCTGAGTTAACCAAACTAGTGAACTCTATGAAGACCTCTGCATGCCCCCTCCACATCTTACCCTCATCTTTGTTTAAAAGTGCTTTTCAGTCCATCGGTCCCAGCGTGCTCTCTATAATTAATGCTTCTCTGGTCTCTGGTCAGGTCCCTGCTTACTTTAAGAACGCTGTAATCCACCCGCTTCTTAAAAAACCGAGTCTCGACCCCTCTCTCCATAGCAGCTTCAGACCCATCTCTAAACTTCCGTTCATCTCCAAGATCTTGGAAAAGGTTGTGGCTAAACAACTCACAGCTGCTCTTGATGAACATAACATCTATGATAGCTTCCAGTCGGGTTTTCGTAGAGCTCATTCTACTGAAACAGCTCTTCTTAGGGTCTCTAATGACCTTCTGACTCACAGTGATGCAGGGGACGGTTCTGTTCTGGTCCTGCTGGACCTGACTGCAGCCTTTGACACTGTTGACCATCACCTGCTACTGGAGAGGCTGAGAGACTGGGTAGGCCTATCAGGATCTGCTCTGGAGTGGTTCTCCTCTTATCTCTCTGAGCGCTCCTTTTCTGTGGCCGTCTCCAAGTTTAGGTCCTCCACCACCTCTCTTACCCATGGTGTCCCACAAGGTTCTGTGCTGGGGCCTCTGCTCTTCCTCCTCTATCTGCTTCCTCTTCAGCACATCCTGAGCTCCTTCAAAGGAATCTCCTACCATCTTTATGCAGATGACATCCAACTGTACATCTCCTTTAAGCCCCATGAGATGTCTAAGCTGCAGCTGTTACACACCTGCTTAGACTCTAGCAAAACCTGGATGGTGGGAGCTTTCTTCAGCTGAATGAAGATAAGACTGAGATCCTCATCTGTGCTCCAGACAAGCTGGTTCCCAAAGTCAGAGACTCTCTTGGTCAGCTTGCTTCTCACACCAAACCTTCTGTCAGGAATCTTGGTGTGACCTTTGACCCAGCTCTCACCCTGGATTCTCATGTCAGTTCTCTTGTTGGCTCTTCCTTCTTCCATCTCAGGAACGTTGCTAAGCTGAGTCCCATTCTGTCCCGCTCTGAACTTGAGACAGTTCTCCACACCTTCATCTCCTCACGCTTAGACTACTGTAACTCTCTTTTCACGTGTCTGAGCAGAACCTCCCTGAACCGTCTACAGGTGGTTCAGAACGCCTGTGCTCGGCTTCTGACCAAGTCCTCCAAACACACCCACATCACCCCGCTTCTCCTCCAGCTTCACTGGCTGCCAGTCAACTTCAGGGTTCATTTCAAGATCCTGGTTCTGGTCTACAGGGCCTTACATGGACAAGCACCATCAAGCACTCGAGTGCTAGAACCCCCCAAGGCCCTTTACAACTCATCGGTCTTTAACCAAAGTAGGTCATTATCAGGAGGTAATCACTTCACAACCATGTAGTATCAATAAAAACATCTGTTAAAGGTATTAATGATTTCTGGTGTGTTTGTTTGAGATTGAGACACTGTAAAAGAAATGTGTGACTTTGCATTTCAAACAAGTCTGACCTCATTTAGTCACCGAAACAAAAGAAACCCTGAAACTTACAGTGAAACTTGAACACACACGGGTCCAGGAAACCCCCACCTGCAGAGTGATGATGCTGTTAGAGGACTCTCACCCTTTAGTAAAATCCTGTTGAAGGGCCAAGCTGCATTTTTTAACTCAGCACATTGTTTTGACAACCTAAATTCCAGAATCAAGGCAATGCCTTCTTAAAGAGCAAGTTACCCCCTACCAGATTCTTACTTAACTCCCACTTCCTGTTTGAAAAATGCAACAAATGCTGTTGCCTAGCAGACCAAGAGGGCGGAGCCGCAAACAAACACACACACACAGGCTCACAACGACATTGTGACATCATATGGTACCAGCTAACGTTCTAGGGTACCTCTTAGCATCCGGCTCATCCCTACTGAATATTATAGAACATCTGTGGTGTGAGTTAGAGAGAGCTGTCTATGCTCAGAAGCCATCAGACCTGAATGAACTGGAGATGCTTTGTGAAGAAGAATGGTCCAGAAAACCTTCAGCCAGAATCCAGACTCTCCCTAGAGGCTACAGGAAGCATTTAGAGCAGGGGTGTCAAATATGCGGCCCGCGGGCCGGATCCGGCCCGCAAGCGGGTTAAATCAGGCGCCGAAAGATGGTTGTGAAAACTTTATTTTCATACTTTACAATGTTGAGTGAAAATAAACGTATCAGTGTGAGAAAGTTTCCTCTGTAATGAGTATGAATAAAACAAAGCTGCGCTCAAGGCTCACACAAGAACTTGAATCACATCCTGAAGATGGCCGCCACTCAGGATGTGACTTCTGATGTTGATGTTCTGGTGAAAGCTAAAAGATGTAAAGTAAAATGAGTCAAATATACTTTAAAGAGCAAGTCAACCCCTACCAGAGTCTAACTCCACTCCCACTTCATGTTTGAAAAATGCAACAAATGCTGTTGCCTGGCAGACCGAGAGGGCGGAGCTGCTAACAAATGCACACTCACACAGGCTCACAACAGCACTGTGACATCATAATGTACCAGTTTACATCATAGCATACCTCTTAGCCAATAGCGGTGGCAGATTTAAATTAGAATACAGTGCAGAGTTTTTACCTGACAACGGCACAACACTGCCAGTTTTAGGCAGAATATTTAAATTTTAACTAAGATGCACTGAAGTGCCAAATTATTGACGACACGTGTGTGCAGCACCATTAGACACTCATTTATTTAGTTTTTCAGCAAAAAAAAAGTTTATTTGGGGGTGACTTGCTCTTTAAGTGCTGCATGAAACTGATCTAGCCATGTGATCTGTAAGCTCTTTGAATCACTAAGGAATGTTTTTTTTTAAATATTTTTTTATTTTTTTATTTACTTATTTTTTTCAAATTTTCAAGTACACTTCAGGTGTTGTACTTGTACTACACTGTCCTCAGGCTCCAGCCTTGTTTTATATTGATTGTATTAAAACAAAGAAAACAATCTGAAGTTGTTTTTAATTTACCGGTCCGGCCCACTTGGGACTAGATTTCCCTCAGTGTGGCCCCTGAGCTAAAATGAGTTTGACACCCCTGATTTAGAGGCTGTTATTTCCTCAAAAGGAGGATCTATGCACCTGTCTAATTTAAGGTATTTACATTAAAGGGAAACTTTGCAATTTTGGCTTGCATTTAGAACCCCTAGTGTCCAGTTATTAGAAGCAAAAGTATGTCCTTGCTGTGCGTTAGTCTTTATGTTGCACACTTGTGTGTTTTGTGGTGAGTTTTATTCCGTTTTGGCTGCTAACACAGATGACAACACAATGAGGGCGTCTTCTTCAACAGTCAAAAAGCACTGAAGAACTAATTAACATTCACATTCACACCCTTAGCTCAACTTTCATAGCAAAATAAGTCAGTTACAGCTCACTCCTTTCAAGCACACAACATTTATAGAAGCACCGTTAAGTCCTAGCATAACACATAAAAGTTAGCTTAGCTGTTAGCTTACTCGTGCTACAATATAAAACTAACATTTTACAAAAAAAATAAATAAAAACACGGGGATAGACGGCCAGCATTCCCCTCATTAACCCGGACTTCTAACCAATCTCCTGTTAACACAGACGAGAACAACATGAGCGGCGTCATCTTCAACAGTCAAAAAGCGCTGAAGAACTGTTGAGTCAGCAGTACTGACTGTGTTCGCTGTGCCCCTTGTGGCAAAATGGTGTTACTACACATTTTACTCATTTCATCCGTTCATAGGGAGGAGTTAAGCTGTGATGAACTTCTAAAAAGTTAATACTAAAATAAAGAAAAATTAATGAAAGGGAGGTGGGCGGCTCTATTTTCTCACATTTATAGCACCTTAATAACAGCTGAAGTGTTTCCCGGCCTTCATTAGTGTCTACAGGAGTGACTCATCACTAAATTAAACAAATCAGTTGTGTTCATGATCTTAAACTCAGAGGAAACGTGCTGGAAGCAGACTGCAGCGCTGGCACGTCAGCTCCACTTTTACTAAGTCCAACAGGGACCAGCTTGTCACTCTCAAGTTGCAAGTGCCATATTCTGGCCACAGGGCGTGGTGGGGTCTGAGTGCCATTTCAGTAACCCTGTAAAGGTTCACTGTAGCACATACTGGCTCAAAAATTATTTAAAATAAGAAGAGTAAAGTTGCAAAGCATGTCTTTAATTTCATTGTGTAATTTCCCATTTAGACCAAAACTAAACTCAGTCTGCCTGAATGGAGGATTTCCTGTCACAACCGGGTGACTGCTGAAGTTTGAAGTCAGCCTTACCTCCCTGTTACAGCTTCTGCTGAGTGAAGCTTCTCCAACTGAGGTTCATCAATGGCACAATAACACCTGTGGTCAGGCTATCATAAGTTCAGCATGAGTAGCATGAGATGGCCCCATGGATGACTTTGTATCTAGAACATGTGTGTGCATCTGCATAAGGCTGTGCTGTTGTTGAGAGAGGCTGTTCATCTGACTGTCAAAACGTAAATGGAACTTCATGATGTCATTGTGAAATGGGGAGGTCCACAAAACGGCTTTTTCTAACGGGAATACTGGCACTTACTTTTTTCCACTTCAAGCACTGATCACACAATCCTGTCCCACATGGCCCCCTCCACCTCACCATTAGGACCCTGATGCACGAGCCCCTCTCCGACATGAAGAATTTGAACTCTCGTCAAAGCTACAAGGAGTCATGCAGCGTTTATGGAACCATACAGAGTAAGCAGGATTCAATTATCATTTTTATTTAACCACTTTAGCTAACACTTCACTGAGTTGATGACGATCACGTATTTCCTAGCCTGGCCTGCCAGACTCTTCGGCTGTGTCTCAATTCAGGGTCTGCATCCTTCGAAGGACCCAGCCCACCCGGCCGACGTGGGCTGCGTCCTCCGTCGGCCGGGTAGACCGGATGTTAACGGCTGTGAATTTGGACAGGCCTAGTCTTCATGAACTCCCTCCGCGAACGTTCCGTCGCCTAGCAACCGTGGAACCGCTCTGGGCAGAAGGGAGAAGGAACTTTAAACGATGGAGCTCGACGTTTTATTTAGCTTTTTAACCCCCAGAGATCCAAATTTAGAAAACAACTGCAAAATCTTTTTTTAACCTTTCACATGTTCTAGGAGGCCAGATAAACAGGCCTATTTACACATTTTAACAGCCAATAGTGTTGCAGAACTGAACAATAGGACCTATTAGCAATGTAAATGTGGTTTTAAAAAGAAAAAAAATGGGGAAGGTTTATTTTTGTAGACTTAAATCTGATGTTGTAATGTTACAACCGTGGGTCTCTGGGGGTTAATCATTTCCTTGACTGTTGGAGAGCTAATTCAGAGAAAATACTTTCGACAAGCTGAGCCTGAGCAAAGATGTGATAATAGTTTAGTTTTTAATACTTTCTAAGGGTCTTAATTTGACCAAAACCGATTTATCACCTTTTAAGACGCTTCAAGACCCAGCGGATACCCTGTAATATTAAACAATTCTCATTTGTAAACAAAAATAAAATTCAAGAGTTTAATGCAGAACTGATTTTATTTAGATATTTCTTTTATATGTACATGTTTAATCTTCCTTAACCATTTTTTTCTAGCAAAGTAAAAAGCTGTCAAAGTTATTCCTTCTCTCCTGTTTCCTCTGCAGCCTCATGTCCTCCCTGATCAGATCCAGAAGCTGGTCATCGCTGGCACCTTCCCCTGGATGCCCATTTTCTCCAGAATAGTCTTAACAAACATGTAAGAAAAAGAAACAGGAAGAGAAAAGAGGACAACAGGTTATTCCTTTCATGTTTTCGCAGAAAAAATAAACTCAAACGAGTTTTTAAAATATGAGATGTTATTGTACCTCCATGCCACAGCCGCCGAATACTTTGCTCCGGTGATCATGTGGTCCATCTCCGTCCTAAGCTTAATACATTCCCTGGTTTTCTCTTTTGTTCCTAAAATACAAACTTCTATTAAAATCAGGGGGAAAACGTAGCGGGAGAAGTTAGACACCGAGCGCGGCCGAACATACGAGCCGAGACCGCAATACAAGCACTTCTACTGTAACATTTCTAACTAAAATAACGTTCATGTATCACAAAAAGTCCTTAACCTAACAGTTTTCAAGTTTATACTTACATTTATATGCGCAATCCTCTCCGACAGCTCCCGCTTCACTGTCCGCCATTGTTTTTAAGTTTTTCTGCCTGCCGGCCCGCAAGGCATCTTGGGAAATGCTACCTGTTGAAGGATACACCCGACCCATCCTTCATTCAGGCGAAAAGAAGGCCGCATTCGTCGACCGCATTTGAAGGAGTCTTCGAATTGGGACAGGCCGAGTCGCGGCGCTGTGACGTAACCGGCCGACGAATCCGGCCGAGGTAGGATGCAGACCCTGAATTGAGACACAGCCTTCCTCTGTTTAATTCTGCATAGAGAAGGAGTCTGGTTACTCTCCCATGCATGTAACCCCACCCCCTGAGAATTCTAACCGAGCCAATCAGCACTGAGCAGCGTACGTCACACACCGCAACGCTCAGTTGCTCATAAACAACGAAAATGGCGTTTGAAGTGGAGTTTGCCGTGGCTCTTTCCTCTTGGACCAGTCTTTGAAACTACAACACAAAGAACTGCTAAGCCTTCCTTCTAAAAAAAGATGTTAGCGCCATCACCAGGCGCCATTTTGACTACATCTAAAAGACTACAACAACACGCGGTACAGTTGGCATTTCCGCATTTTTTCTGATTGGTTATTTTTGAACTGGTTAGTCCCGCCTCTCATGTGCCTCTCTGCCTTTCAGTACCCAGATGCATGCTGCTCGGTGCTGATTGGCCCGGTCAGAATTCTCAGGGGGTGGGGTTATACTGTATGCATGGGAGAGTTACCAGACCCGTTCTCTGTGCAGGATTAAACAGAGGACGAGTCTGGCAGTGTTTCCTTCATCTCACTGATTGTGTCTTGTTGCGTTTGCAGGATAGTTTGGGTCAGCACCAGGCCACTTTCAGGTGCGCCTTGGAGGACACTCGTGGGGGACAGCCCATCCCTGCAGGACTTACCCAGCCAGGAACCTCCTCTGCTTCCAATGGAGCAACTGGACACACTACATATAGACACAGTTTTTTTCTGAGAGCTTCTTGTTTAAAATTGATTAATAAATAAATAAAACAAACTGAGTGTGACTGACTCGGCTGACTAGGACCTCTCCATGTCGGCATCTATCAACAACAGAAAGCCCAAACTGATTGATTTTTATAAGATTCTCTAAGAAGCAGCTCAGGGGGTGGCGGTGGGTGGTCTTTTGCATCGTAACGTTTTAAAGCAGCCCTTTATTTCTGCTGCAGACTCGGTGACCAACAGTGAGGCAGATCCAGCTCCCCACGACACTTGGCTGGCTCTCTGAAGGAAATAAAAATGGCTCCATCTATCCAGCAGAGAGGACTGTTCCTGTCTGAACTCATTACTAGCAGTGAGTCCATAGATCTAGAACGAGTAGAAAGGACACTTCCTGGTGCCATTGCAAAGTACAAAAAAAAAGTTATTGATCATTTAAAGTGGGTACTTCCTGGTTTTGATGGTGCCTTGTAGATCCAGTTAACGTACAAAGGTCACTTTGAATGAGTTGATACATCAAGAGAAGAAGGCGGCATTGATCTAACAGACTAAATATTTCCTGCAAACTATTATATTGTAGGTGGAACAAACACTTCAGCATTCAGGATTCCAGAGCTTGTTAAATGACTTTCATGGATCTCCCACTGAGAAGGCATGGATGCTCAAATCAAGAAAACAAATACAAGCAAATCACACTGGATCTGCACAAATCCACCCTGATCTACATGAGCAGACTTTAACAAGGCCCTTATTTAAATATATGAGTTAAAGCAAACTAATCTCCCCTTTGCAAAATCAAACTTCCAGAGGAGTTCCAATGTCACGGATCAAAGTTTTGAGGTTCCCTTCAATGAAACAGAGGCGTAAAAGTGTATGCAGCTGTTAATGCAAAGTGTCAAAACAGCACGCATCAGCAGAAGTAAAGTAACAATGGTTGGGAATAAACTAAAATCACATCATAGACTTGATTTGTAGACTTTTATATATTATTGTTTTTTTAGCACAGAATGGATCACACACACATTTAATAAATGAAGCACTAGTGAATGGGGAGGCCTTGTCACATGATCCACATACACCACTGCATTCAGCCACATGTCCAGTATGCAGGGAATGACAAAAACATACTTTTTAATTAAGTTTTAGAGCGTATCCACCAAGTGTCACCAACAGATCAACAACAGTAGAGATGTGAACAACAGCCATAAAGGTGGCATGGGGCTGCATGCATTTCTTCACTCATGAACCTAGAAAAGAGTGCGCAGGACAATGTAAAATATAAAATGTAAAAGTGCAAAATCATTTTGGACATTTAAAGGCCCCGTGTACTCGACAATTACAAAAGCATTTTAACCCTTTTATGTCCTAATTGCATTTTTTCATGTGCAGACAAGTGTATTTTTGTGCTTAATGTTGGCTATGCTACTGATATGTCTCTTGTTTTGGGAGAGAATGTATATTTTTGGGGGAAATATCAAAAATTATTTGAACACATTCCCTACTCCATTTAATGTAACACTGAAATCATTTTGTAGCGTTGAAGCGTTTTTGCGCCATTGACTCCCATGTAAATATGTATTTACATGAGTGCAATTTTAAACAAAAGGCTAACATAAATAAAATTCTAAGGAATTCTGTTGGCAGGTCTTGACCTACACTTTACAGTAAACAGTAAATTCCATCACTCTCTGAATAAAGCACAGAAACAAGTCATATCTCACTTGTGTATTTTAGCCCACATACAATCACATAGCACACAGGCGATGCTGAAATCAGACCAGCCTTGTTAGCTGGGTTTGGGGAGTATGTGATATAGATAATCTATTCCCTCAGCCCATCGCTAATCATTTGATGGAGCTTTACATACAGATTAGTAATTTCATAAACATCATCTGACCTTACCAGTCTGTGCTCAGACATGAGTTCAGAGCACAAGTGAAATACATCTACATCACAGGGGAAATCCTTGAAATAACACTCCTCTAAACATATTTCCAGCTTTGTTGGACTCACAGGCTGGAGAAAATGTGGAACCCCATAAAGGTTGGGGACAGCATGCATTATTGTTGGACGACCACCAGGAGCTCGAGGATTATTAGTAGATCGTGTACGATGGTCATTCCAAGCACCTCATCCAGTTCCACCTGTGCTGGTGTACTGGTGCAGCAGCAACAACCTGGAGCTCAATGCTCAGAAGACAGTGGAGATGATTGTGGACTTCAGGAAAGTCACAGCCCCATCTCTCCCCCTCGTCCTGACGGACACCCCCGTCACCACTGTGGACTCCTTCCGCTTCCTCGGAACCACCATCACACATGACCTTAGGTGGGAGCCATCCATCAGCTCCCTGATCAAAAAGGCCCAGCAGAGGATGTACTTTCTGCAGCAGTTGAAAAAGGCCAAGCTGCCGGCCCAGATGATGGTGCAGTTTTACACGGCCATCATTGAGTCCATCCTCACCTCCTCCATCGCTGTGTGGTACGCTGGAGCCACAGTGAGGGACAAACATAGACTGCAGCGCATTGTGCGCTCTGCTGAGAAGGTGATTGGCTGCAGCCTTCCATCTCTCCAGGACCTGTACGTCTCCAGAACTCGGGGGCGTGCAGGTCGGATAGCAGCTGACCCTTCGCACCCGGGTCACAGACTTTTTGAGCCGCTTCCCTCAGGCAGGAGGTTACGGTCCATCCGGACCAGAACCTCCCGCCATAAGAACAGCTTCTTTCCATCTGCCGTTAGACTTGTGAACAGCTTATAAACACACAACCATGCTCGTCTTCTGTACTCGACACAATGTCACGTTATCGGCCATGTTACCACTACCTGCCTTTTTTATAGCTGAAAGTTTTATTCTAGTTTTTTTTTATTCTATTTTATTCTATTTTTAATCGTATTATTCATGTTATATGTAGCACGTTAGTACCGAAGCAAGTTCCTAGTTTGTGAATTGTTTGTTCACTGACAATGGCAATAAACCTATTCTGATTCTGATTCTGATGAAATATTGTGATCGATGGTGGAGAAACAAATTAAACCATAATAATGACAACCTAGAAAGGCCAATGGCATACAGTTTATCTAACAGTTAATAATGGTCAACCATATGGAAGCCTTAAGTTAGGTCAATTAATTCATGAATGAATGAAACGTGATAACATTTTTACAGTAAAAATGTATAATCTAACCATCACAAACACCAATTTGCTTTGAAGGGGATTTTAAAATGAAGTCCAAGCAAAACTGTTTCATCATTGATTACAGTAAGAGGGCATGTTAGCAATGGGCAGTAAGTAATAGTGAAGAATTATTTAATTCAAATGTTGTACAAAGCTGAGGACAATGGGGGTCATTGTGCTACAGGAGTTCTACTTTATTAGCCTCGTATCTTTCTAAGATCAAAGAGCAGAAAACTCAAAAGGAAACATAAATCTGCAGAACAAATGCTTCAGACATCGACTCAAATTACTTGGGAAGTAACAAGTAACTCTATTAGTTTTCATTTTACCCTGTTTTGGTGAGAAAACTCCCCTTTCAGTGGTACGTTTGCATGGTACAGAGATGAAATGTTACCACACACACACACACACACACACACACACACACACACACACACACACACACACACACACACACGCGCGTTTTATTCATTTGCTTATTTTCTTCATTTTCACATGTATATATATTTTATCTTTGATATTTTTTGAAATTCTTATGACAACAAATAGGACTGGACAATAATTCAATAATGATATAAATTGATAGCCATGTGGTTCAAAAGGGGGAAAAAATCAATAAAAACTTGAGTAAAAAGTTTTCTTTTCCCAGTATAGCCTATCGGGTAGCTTCATACTACAGTCATTACTTACACCTAACCAATGAGAGCACAGACTCAGGCACGCTCCATCACCAAGCCCTGCCCTCTCAAACCTAAACAGACAGCTATGTGACTTGTATCCACAGTCTCGTTCTTTCGGTCACCATCCACAGCTTGTGACCGTAGGCGAGGGTAGGAACGTCGATCGGTGCACTGGTGAACGGAGATCTTTGCCTTCTGGCTCAGCTCTCTTTTCACCACGACCGATTGGTACAACGACCACTGCAGACACATCCACCTATTGATCTCACTCTATTTTTCGCTCACTTGTGAACAAGACCCCAAAATACTTAAACTCAGCTTGCTTGAGGCAGGACCTCATCTCCAACATGGAGAAGGCATTCTACCCTTTTTTGATTTAAGACCATGGTCTCAGATTTAGAGGGGCTGATTCTCATCCCAGCCACCTCAGACTTGGCTGTGAACTGCTCCAGCAAAAGCTGGAGATGACTGTCTGGGGATGCTAACAGCTGCAAAATGCAGAGACCTGATCCTCAGGCCACCAAAACGGATCCCCTCTATACCTTGGTTGCACCTAGAAATCCTGTCCATAAAAGTTATGAACAGAATCGGTGACAAAGGGCAGCCTTGCTGGAGTCCAACTCTCGCCGGAAACAAGCTTGAATTACATCCAGCAATGTGTACCAAGCTCTAACATCGGTCATACAGGGACCTAACAGCCCTGTACTGATTAGACAA